AAAAAAAATTTATTATTTCTAAAATATTGCATTTGGAGTGTTAATATTTTAATTGTACTTACGTGTGAAATGTATAATTTTGTGGATTTTCTTTTCTCGATGAACTACATTCAGTTACTAATTAATATTTTAAAATTTAACATTTTAAACAGTTCTAACGTAAGCATATGCTATCCCTTACTCTTTTATATTGCCAGTATAACGTAAGTATATACTAAATCTATGATTCTAATTTAGATATTACAAACTTCGTGTAACGAAAGACAATGGTCTGGCGGAATATTATCACGATAAATTCATGAGATTTCTCTATTGGTTTGAGCTCAGTTAATTGTGAGTCGGCTGTAATCCACATGTCTGTGTCTGAAGAAAAAACGCCTACTATGAAATATTAAAGAAAGTTTCAGAAACGCTTGAAAGACGAGTGGGTTCATTGATTGTATTATATTCTTATATTTTGTTCCAGGCTAACAGCACTTCGGCCGCCACAAGCTCGCATCGTACCGCCCGCAGCACCGCCAACGGGTGGAGAAGAACCTGGACAACTCCTAGTTACAAACTCGGCAAGACGGCTAGAAGTATGTCATATTTTTAATCCTAGTTTTGGTTACTTAATATAAGTAAAGTGAGAAGGACCACGCTCTCACAGAATACCAGCGTCAAATAGCAGCTTCATGCTGCTGTGTTTCGTATGGTGAAGTAAGTAAGTAAGATACTTTGAGAAAGAGAATTGCGAATATTCTAGTTAAATGATATTCGAACTCGTTTAAGGTGAAACATACGGTCTGTTCCTGGCCATATTCCCGCGAGATGGCGCTGAAGCCATAATTTTTTAGTTTATTTGGGTTTTTGTGTAATTGGAACATTATTAAATCGTAAAAGTAGCAATCGCGATTCTCGGACATTATACTTTATTTTACTAGGTATATCATATATCATTGCCTCAAAATCCACACAATGCAACACAAAGTCCGAAAATAACATCTGTCATTGAATATATAGTGTCGTTTACATACACAGACGTGGGTGAATTCTTAGTCCCTACATTTACGAAAATTGAACACTAGATGGCGTGAATGAAAAAAAATGTAATCCTTTTTTCTGTATAGGTAGGCAGAACTACAGAACGCCACCTGCTACGATATATAATATTATGTACGATTCATCATCTGCCTAGCCTTTTTCCCAACTATATTGGGGTCGGCTCCCAGTCAAAACGGATTCAGCTGATACCAGCTGATATTTTATGACTATGTTATAAAAATAAAAGTTATATTTATAGGCGTAAATAAACTATTTAATTCAATAATAATTTTGGGAAATAATATATTTCAACACTAAGAACAATAAAAAGATAACAAATCTAAAATACGATTTAGTATGCGGTAAGAACCAGGAAGGTGAAAAAATATTCCAGCAGGGATCGAACCCGGGTTGCTCGCGTACTGTGAAATTTACATCGAGCGCTAACCACCTGAGCTATTACGACTCGTACATTTGTTTACCAATTTTTGAACATTATACTTACATTTATTTCTATGCTATTTTTTTTATACAGCTTTATATTTATTACTAGCTGTTCCCCGAGACTTCGCCCGCGTGTTATTTGGGGGTTTCAATTTTTTTTGCGCGAAACCCTTATTTTTTTTCTCTAATTTTAACGTTACAAACAGACACTTCAATTTTATTTATTTGTATAGATTTTTGTAATTAATAAATAATTATAAAACAAAATTAATAATAAATATATAACCATTATTTTCATCTGTTATCCAAGGACCAATCAACTAAAGAAATCCAGGTCCGTAACAAACGATACGATGCGACCTTGAGCTTAGTACTACAACAAAATAAAACAAACTAATAATAATGTGTAGCTGTCTGAAACTGTTTGCATTTGCATCATCGCACGAATAATGCTTGCCAAGCAACAGAAATAAAATTGTATACATTGCCGTCAAAGGTCATCAGTTTTATATTATTTTATTGTTTTTTCTTTAATGAACGGTAGGAAAGGAAATAATTTTGTATATAAGATATTGATTTATAATAATTATGATATCTTCTACACGCCATCTAGCGTACCAATGTTTAAACTATGCCTTTGGCGCTTTTGCTTGTCAAGTTGTCAAAATTCACTCACACTACTAAAGAAGTGTCAAAATTTTCCTAGATTTCACTATTGTTTTTCTTAATAAATACTGTAAGTTATATCCTAATAAGGTCAATCGCGAGCACATTTCAGTGTAGAAAAGTGATAAAATGAATAGTTTTAAACAAATAGTGTCTGTGTTTAACGTACATGTCAAAACAAAAATGTATAGCGCGGCTATCGGAGGATCCCCCTTAATAATTTCACTGAAGCGGAAGAATTGAAAGAAATTTAAAAGATGGGTCATAAAACATTAGATATATCTATAAACAAAATTAATAATAATACGTAAAGATATAGAAACGGTGGTAGATCCACGCAGCAGTTTTTGCTGTTGCACGTAAGGGCCGGCTCGAGCCGGGTTGGTAACACGACCTCACAGAATACCGGCGTGAAGTAGAGGCTCTGCTTCTGCGTTTCGTCTGGTGAGTGCAGGTGGCCGGAGGCCCCATTCCCCCCCCCCCCCCCCCATCAACATGGTAGCGGAATTACACGATAGACTATCCCAGGAGGGTACCAGTACCCCTGGAGAATCCCTCGCTGAGCATCCACGACCATGTTATTCCAATCCTGAGCGTGGGTGCTCAGGCTGCCCAGCGTATTCTGGGGGGGGGGGGGGGGGGGGCAAAATTCCGCTCAAAAACATAACTGCTCGGGGCAAACTGAGCAACAATACCAAGGCGACCCCTGCCACGCTATCCGTGAATTTCACTCGAACCTAAACGTCGTCCACCACCATCTCGAGACGGCGAAGCCGGCCTTGCTCTTTCTGACCGAGACGCAGGTTTCCTCTCCGGCTGATATTTCGTATCTCCTACCCGGGGTACAAATTGGAGCACTCCTTTGTGCCTCGGGCTGGAGTTTGCGTGTATGTCAGAGAGGATATCTGTTCTCGACGCATCGGCAGTCTTGAAGGTTCGGACCTGTCCATCCTTTGGCTACGCGTAGACAGCGACGACCATCCGCGCGTCTACGGGTGCCTCTATAGGTCCCATAGCGGTAATGCCGAAACAGACCGACTCATCGACCACGTCCAAATGGCTACAGATTCCTTGCTACAACAGGTCCCATCAGCAGAGATCGTGATCTTTGGCGATTTTAACGCCCACCATGCCGAATGGCTCGGTTCACGTTTAACCAATCATGCGGGGAGATCTGTTTATGACTTTGCTTTGGCATATGGTCTGACAAAACTGGTTACTTCGCCTACGCGGATTCCAGATGTTGAGGATCATACACCTGTCCCTGTTGGACCTTCTGCTGACCTCTCATCCGGACGGATATCAGGTTTCCGTCGATGCCCCTCTCGGCTCTTCGGACCATTGTCTGTTCCGGAGTGTGGTGCCACTCACGCTCCCTTCGCGGTTGCGTTCTGCAGGTTGCCGCCGTGTTTGGCATTACAGGTCGGCGGATTGGGACGGAATGCGGTCTTTCTTTGCATCCTACCCATGGGGGCGGGTTTGCTTCTCGCCGGATGATCCCAGCGCTGTTGCTGACTCTGTCACTGATGTGGTGCTACAGGGAATGGAACTATTTATTCCATCATCTGTGGTACCCATCGGAGGCAGATCTCAGCCTTGGTTTGGACGCTCCTGTAAGATTGCATTACGCAGTAAGCAGGAGTGTTATCAAGCCTGGGCTGCGGCTTCGGCGACTCGGGATGTAAACACCAGCACACTTAAAAAGAAGTATAACTTTGCCTCCAGGTCCTTCAAAAGAGTTATTGCCAAGGCAAAGTCAGAGCACTTAGGCAGAATTGGCGAGAAACTAGTTCGCCTTCCTTCGGGAACCCGTGCATTCTGGTCTCTCGCCAAGGCTGTCCAAGGGAATTTCTGTAAGCCATCACTACCATCTCTGCACAGGGAGGACGACTCATTGGCCCAAGACGCAAAAGACAAAGCTGACCTTTTAGGCTCCCTTTTTGCGTCCAACTCGACTCTTGATGACGGGGAGAAAACACCGCCGACCATCCCGCGGTGTGAGTGCTCCATGCCGGATGTGCTGTTCACACAGCGCTCGGTTCGCAAAGCACTTCTCTCCCTGGACATCCAGAAGTCGAGTGGGCCTGACGGTATCCCCCCAATTGTGCTGAGGACGTGTGCTCCGGAGTTGGCACCGGTCCTAGCGCGTCTTTTCCGATACTCCTACTCCCCAGGCGTAGTCCCGAATTCATGGAAGACAGCTTTTGTCCACCCGATCCCTAAAAAAAGGCGACCGCTCAGACCCGTCCAACTATAGGCCTATCGCGATCACCTCCTTGTTCTCCAAAATAATGGAATCCATTATTAACTGCCAGCTCATCCGGTACCTTGAGGATCACCAACTGATTAGTGACCGCCAATACGGTTTTCGTCGGGGTCGATCAGCTGGTGATCTTCTGGTCTACCTGACCCATAGATGGGCGGAGGCAGTAGAGTCCAAGGGAGAGGCGTTGGCCGTTAGTCTGGACATTGCGAAGGCCTTCGATCGGGTTTGGCACAAAGCGCTTCTTTCGAAGCTCCCTTCCTATGGGCTTCCCGAGAAATTGTGCAATTGGATCACCAGCTTCCTTGCAGATCGGAGCATCAAGGTCGTTGTAGACGGTGCATGTTCTGACTACAAGCCTATTAACGCTGGTGTTCCACAAGGCTGTGTGCTATCACCAACGCTGTTTCTTCTGCATATCAATGATATGTTGCTAACTGGTAACATTCATTATTATGCGGATGACAGCACTGGTGATGCTCTATACACCGGCCGTGCCAATATTTCTCGGGAAAACGTCGCCGAGTACCGGAACAAACTTGTGTCTGAAGTCGAGTCTTTGCTGAACAAAGTCTCGGATTGGGGGCGACTATATCTAGTCCAGTTTAGGGCGCTTTTAGTGTCACGCGGATTTGCTCACGCACGCGGGATTGGACCGCATGCGTAGCATCCGCAAAGAACAATTTCATATAGGTATCTATTGTAAAGCGTGATAAACGCACGCGGGACGCGGGGCGCTGTGCGGGGCGTCACCCCGGTGCGGGGTATCCGCATGCGTAAGCGCTGCCTACAACTTCAGTGCCCATTTTAGAGTCGAGCGGGGCGCACGCGCCGTATTGTACTACCGAAATGAAAATCGATACAGAACGAGTAATCATTGAAGTTCATCTGCGGCCCGTTTTGTGGGATAAACGCAATGAATTATACAAACACAGGGACGCGAGGGAGGCTGCATGGAGAGATATTTTGAAGGAATTGGCACCTAACTACGAAAATTTGAGCGAAGAGGAAAGAAAAGAGGCGGGTATGTGTTTGGTTCATTATTTTATTTATACAAGCATCATTACTTTATTAATATAAGCATAATTATTTAATTCACAAATAACATCAAAAACCTTCTAAAACCTTTTGAGTTTAGTTAATTAATTATATATAGGTGTTGCCAGGAGACTTTTCCTTCATTGATAAAGTAATCTGCAAATATATCTCTGATATTACTTGCCGACGTATTACTACTTTCAGTCTGCTGCCTGGGTAGTGGTCCCGTAAAACCATTTGTGACAAATGTATGGCTGACCTTGTAGCCATCCCGTTTCCTTATGAAATTGTGAAGTACACATGCCGTCTTGACTATTAATTGTGCTAGATCTAACTTGACATTCATGGATCTGTGAAATATTCTAAATTTATTTGACATAATTCCAAAAGTGCATTCTATGTACCTTCTAGCTCTGGACAGACGGTAATTAAATATTTTCTTTTTGTAAGGTAAATTATCACGAGCATAAGGCCGCATCACATGTGATGATAAACCAAATGCCTCGTCTCCCACTATCACGAACGGCAACTTTGCTCTTACACTAGATGGATAAGCTACTTCGGGGCAAATAATAGGCAACTCTTGCGGGTCAGGGATACCCAACGTGTTACTTTCCAGTTTCGTATACAATTGACTCCTTCTAAAGATGGTTGAATCGGCGTTGCTTCCACTGGTACCGACATTAATATATGTAAAATTATAATCAGCATCACACATTGCGAGGAGCACTACAGAATAATATTTCTTATAATTAAAATATAGTGATCCACTGTGCGGCGGCCGAATCACTCTTATATGTTTTCCATCAATTGCACCCAAGCAATTAGGAAAATTTGTATATGTGAGAAATCCCTCTGCGATTTCTTTCCATTTGATCCCATTAAGCTGTGGAATACATTCAGACTTTAGTTCAATCCATATTATGTAACAAACTTGTCTTACTATTTCGCTAATTGTTGCAATTCCAATCACATAGGAATAGTGTAGATCAGTGAATGTATTACCAGTTGCCAAATATCTGAAAACAAAAACAATATATTAATAATATGATAACATAATATATTAATAATGCTGACATCAGACATAAGACAGCATGCACCGCTCGAATTTTACTTCAGAAGAAAAATAAATACCCTTAAGGTGAAAGGGCACGGAAGTAGCTAGCGCTAGAAGTTTTTAATTCGTTTTAACTACAGTACTATAGCTACGTTAGATTTCTATGATTTGCCGAAAATTTTATCATAGGGGGGTATTTATGCAGTTATGATTTCATATGAAAAGTTCGAAGTATAGTTATGTATCTCATATCTGCTAAAAGTGGCCACTTTTAGCAGATTTGAGACACATAACTATGCTGTAAATATTTTATAAGAAATCTTCTCTGTATAAATTAACCCCTATGGTAAAATTTCCGGCAAATGAAAGGAATCTAATAAATATATATAATATAATATAATGAAATATCGTTTATTTCAGGCAATATTTACATTACAAGATGTCCTCCTTCATGAAGGTTGACAGATGCAAATAAAGCAAATTTTTGTTAAAACAAATTAAAAACTTACAGCGCTAGTGACTTCCGGAAGTTTTCACCTTAATTTTGATGATGGCAAATTTTACTGTAACAAATAAACAAATTGCCCGATTCAATCCGGTGTTTTTCCAAAAATCCTTAAATGAAGTTCTAATTATTTTTGTAAAAAATGAATTATTTCGTCGATGTCTGCGCCGCGCCGCCCCGGCCGCGCCGTCTGCGTCTAGTATAAGATTCACTTTGCGCTATCGTTCGCGGCGAAATTGACCGGCCTGCGCCGGCCCGCCGTTTGCGTTGCGCCTAAGGGTACTTTTCCTTCAACTGCGGCCTTATTTTTCCACTCTGTATAGGTATATATATATTGCTTGATTTATCTAATGCTTCATGAGACAGTGTAAAGTTGACAACATGTGTGAATTAAGGAGGGCCTTTAATCGAATGCAGTTAAATTTCCAACTAATATCAGATTTGTACACACGGCCACAGATCAAGCTTCCCAAAACCAGTATAAACAGGACTCATGCGTTGTTTATTATCGTAGACGACTCGGCGCCCGGCGAGGCCCTAGCAAGTTCCGTTTATTGGTACTGGTTTTGGGTAACTTGATCTGAAACTGTGTGTACTTTTGCCACTTACTTATTATATTTTGTCATTTCAGACAAGAAAATACAACAACGCTGGCGAACAGCAAGGGACACTTACCAGAAAGACAAGATATCTGAAAAAAATCAGCCATCCGGCTCTGGGAGTAAGAAGAAGAAGAAGAAATATTCTTACTATGACATTTTGACTTTCTTAGACAGTACAACGGAAACTGCTGGAGAAGAGTCACTCTGTGAAGAAATGTCTGAACAAAGTAATTTAGAAACACCTAATGAGTCCACGCAACCAGATACTTCACGTCAAGAAAGTTCTCACCCAACATCAAAACAAAAACAAATAAAATCTAAAAAGCAAGCACCATCTGAATTTGAGGCACAGTTATTAGAATGCTTAAAGTCTAATCAACTGGAGCTAGAAAGTGAGGATTTGGCTTTCTTTCAGTCTCTGCAGCCTTCATTAAAAAGATTCACTAGATATCAAAAACTAATGTTCAGAACAAAAGTGTTAAATATAGTTATGGAAATGGAAAGTCAAACACAACCTGCATACTACAGTCCCATACCTACAACAAGTTCTAGTGCTTTTACTGAGCTTGACAGTTTGTCACCGATAAATCAAGATTACCAAACCAATAGTATAATCCAGGATACTTCGAGTCTTAACGACAATGCTATTAGTTCTGCTGCAGTGAATGACAATGAAACTCTTATTTCGACTGAAAGCGGCCTGTTTAATATCACGTCTTATGACGTAATTTATACCCCAGCAACAACATCATCTACAGGCGAAAGTAATGTCAACGCTCAGGATACAAATTTACAAAGAAATGAATGATGTAAAATTTGATTTTTTAATTTATGAATAAAACTCTTTTTATTAAAATGAGTACGATTAACTTTTTTTCTCCAGTTTCTCTCTAATTGTTTGTTTAGTCATATGAGTGCGGTTGTACACACGGCACAGATCAAGTTACTCAAATCCAGTATAAGCGGGACTCCGACGGGTTACCTAAGTATGATAATACGCAAGGCGCGAGTTCCATTTATGCTGGTTTTGGGTAACTTGATCTGTGGCCATGTGTACTTTATCAGATAAAAAAAGGATTGTGTATGTAGGTTGAACGTACCAATCCCAAACCAATTAAGGACTTTTTTTGACTTTAAATTACTGTCATGTGCAAACCTATAACTTTTATCTATATTATAATAAGTAGCGTGTGATGAAAGGTAGGAATGATTCCACTTTAATGGCGACATTTTATGAGTGAAATAATCTTATTTAATGAAATTTCAACATGAAATTGAATGAAATTATGAACAATGAAATTTCAGAGTACATGACAAAATTTTTTTTTGCACATGTAAATTTACACATGACAGTAATTTGAAGTCAAAAAACGTTTATCCTACCTGTTCAAATCCCTTTCCACTAAATCATAGCAGGAAATTAAATATTTAAAATTTAAAACTTACCTTAATGTAATAGCGAGCCTCTCAATCGGTTGTATTGTAATCCTTCGTAAACTGCTTTTTTGTAGCTTATTCTCAATTTTACACAACAGTTCATCAAAAGAACGAATGGACATTCGAAAGTAATTTTTAAATTTACGTTCATTATTTTGTAGTTTTCCAAAGCGTGTAACAAACGCCCCAGCAAGAAGCCTATTTTCAAGAAAGGGATCAACATGTACTCTTGTCTTCTTGTTTCGTCGTTTGTAAAGTATGTAAGCGACACATATTCTTCTGACATTGATCATTTTTGAACACGTCTATACCGTTACGCAGCCCGTAGAAAACTGAAACTCATGCTGCGTATGATCCGCAGCGTGAAATTTTACGCATGCGGTCCAATCCCGCGTGCGTGAGCAAATCCGCGTGACACTAAAAGCGCCCTTAATCCTCAGAAGACACAAGTTTGCGCGTTTACCGCTAAAAAGAACCCCTTTATCGTATCTCCTCAGTTTCAAGGCACTCCCCTTCTTGCCTCAGCCAGTATCGGTATCCTCGGAGTCGACATATCGAGTGACGTGCAGTTTCGTGGTCACTTGGAAGAGAAGGCCAAATTGGCCTCTAAAAAGCTTGGCGTGCTCAGCAGAGCGGGACAGTATTTCATGCCGGCACACCGCCTGCAACATTACAAGGCGCAGGTTCGGCCTCACATGGAATACTGTTCCCATCTCTGGGCAGGGGCTCCCCAGTGCCAGCTCCTTCCACTTGACCGCATCCAGCGCAGAGCGGCTCGAATCGTCGACGACCGAGCCCTTTCCGATCGGCTCGATTCATTGGCACTGCGAAAAGATGTTGCATCCCTTTGCATTTTCTTTCGCATCTACCATGGGGAATGCTCTGAGGAATTGTTCGGATTAATCCCAGCCGCCAAATTTCACGAACGCACATCGCGGCAGAACTCCCGATACCATCCACACCATCTGGATGATTGGCGGTCCACCACTGTGCGATTTCGAAGATGTTTTCTTTCTCGCACGACTTCCTTGTGGAATCGATTACCAACAGCGATTTTTCCGGACCGATACGACTTATTGACCTTCAAGAAAAGAGCGTACTCCTGCTTAAAAGGCCGGCAACGCATCTGCAATTTCCTCCCTGGTGTTGCAGTTGTTCATGGGCGGCGGTAGTCACTTACCATCAGGTGAACAGCATGCTCGTTAGCCCTATAAAAAATATTTTAATATTTTTCTTAAACAAAATTTTTACATGTACAATATATATTATGTGTAGTAGTTTTTTTTTTAAATTGAACAAGGGTGAGAAATGAGCACAGTGTCCATCTGATGGTAATGACTTATGGATGGCTGTGACCAATAGATACCTTGATCTAGAGCAGATTTCAATGTCGTTAACAAATATTATAAACAGTAACGGTCCCAGCAAGGAGCCTTGCGGTACGCCTCGGTATTGACATCTGTCTCGGGATTGTCGATATAAGAGGAGGACCACCGCACTAAGTTTGCACAGAATCCAACATATTGGAGATTTTTTAACTGCAGGTTGTGTTCAATTCGTTCGAAAGCTTAATCTGTATATACAATGTCAACTAGCCGTCATCCATGGCTTTTGAAGATTGAATTAAGTAGTAACAAGCTAGAAACGGTAGATGTACCCTTGAAGAAAGTATGTTGAGATTGGCTTAATGTGTTGTATGAGTAATATCGTCGGTGGCACTCGCAGGTGCTGCGAGCGTGCGTGGCGGCGATATTCGAGTGCCGGTACGCGGACGCGCGCAAGTCGTTCCCCGCCGTGCTGCGCGCGCTGCGGGCGCCGGCCGCGCGCGCCGCGCTCGTGCGCGACCTGGCCGCGCGCCTGCCCACCAACAAGCACCTGCTGCAGCACCACCAGTTCGAGCTGCTCGTCAGGTACGCTGCTCGGCTACACGCACTACACATGCACACACACGCACACGCACGCGCACGCGACCTGGCCGCGCGCCTGCCCACCAACAAGCACCTGCTGCAGCACCACCAGTTCGAGCTGCTCGTCAGGTACGCTGCTCGGCTACACGCACTACACATGCACACACACGCACACGCACGCGCACGCGACCTGGCCGCGCGCCTGCCCACCAACAAGCACCTGCTGCAGCACCACCAGTTCGAGCTGCTCGTCAGGTACGCTGCTCGGCTACACGCACTACACATGCACACACACGCACACGCACGCGCACGCGACCTGGCCGCGCGCCTGCCCACCAACAAGCACCTGCTGCAGCACCACCAGTTCGAGCTGCTCGTCAGGTACGCTGCTCGGCTACACGCACTACACATGCACACACACGCACACGCACGCGACCTGGCCGCGCGCCTGCCCACCAACAAGCACCTGCTGCAGCACCACCAGTTCGAGCTGCTCGTCAGGTACGCTGCTCGGCTACACGCACTACACATGCACACACACGCACACGCACGCGACCTGGCCGCGCGCCTGCCCACCAACAAGCACCTGCTGCAGCACCACCAGTTCGAGCTGCTCGTCAGGTACGCTGCTCGGCTATACGCACTACACATGCACACACACGCACACGCACGCGACCTGGCCGCGCGCCTGCCCACCAACAAGCACCTGCTGCAGCACCACCAGTTCGAGCTGCTCGTCAGGTACGCTGCTCGGCTACACGCACTACACATGCACACACACGCACACGCACGCGACCTGGCCGCGCGCCTGCCCACCAACAAGCACCTGCTGCAGCACCACCAGTTCGAGCTGCTCGTCAGGTACGCTGCTCGGCTACACGCACTACACATGCACACACACGCACACGCACGCGACCTGGCCGCGCGCCTGCCCACCAACAAGCACCTGCTGCAGCACCACCAGTTCGAGCTGCTCGTCAGGTACGCTGCTCGGCTACACGCACTACACATGCACACACACGCACACGCACGCGACCTGGCCGCGCGCCTGCCCACCAACAAGCACCTGCTGCAGCACCACCAGTTCGAGCTGCTCGTCAGGTACGCTGCTCGGCTACACGCACTACACATGCACACACACGCACACGCACGCGACCTGGCCGCGCGCCTGCCCACCAACAAGCACCTGCTGCAGCACCACCAGTTCGAGCTGCTCGTCAGGTACGCTGCTCGGCTACACGCACTACACATGCACACACACGCACACGCACGCGACCTGGCCGCGCGCCTGCCCACCAACAAGCACCTGCTGCAGCACCACCAGTTCGAGCTGCTCGTCAGGTACGCTGCTCGGCTACACGCACTACACATGCACACACACGCACACGCACGCGACCTGGCCGCGCGCCTGCCCACCAACAAGCACCTGCTGCAGCACCACCAGTTCGAGCTGCTCGTCAGGTACGCTGCTCGGCTACACGCACTACACATGCACACACACGCACACGCACGCGACCTGGCCGCGCGCCTGCCCACCAACAAGCACCTGCTGCAGCACCACCAGTTCGAGCTGCTCGTCAGGTACGCTGCTCGGCTACACGCACTACACATGCACACACACGCACACGCACGCGACCTGGCCGCGCGCCTGCCCACCAACAAGCACCTGCTGCAGCACCACCAGTTCGAGCTGCTCGTCAGGTACGCTGCTCGGCTACACGCACTACACATGCACACACACGCACACGCACGCGACCTGGCCGCGCGCCTGCCCACCAACAAGCACCTGCTGCAGCACCACCAGTTCGAACTGCTCGTCAGGTACGCTGCTCGGCTACACGCACTACACATGCACACACACGCACACGCACGCGCACGCGACCTGGCCGCGCGCCTGCCCACCAACAAGCACCTGCTGCAGCACCACCAGTTCGAGCTGCTCGTCAGGTACGCTGCTCGGCTACACGCACTACACATGCACACACACGCACACGCACGCGACCTGGCCGCGCGCCTGCCCACCAACAAGCACCTGCTGCAGCACCACCAGTTCGAGCTGCTCGTCAGGTACGCTGCTCGGCTACACGCACTACACATGCACACACACGCACACGCACGCGACCTGGCCGCGCGCCTGCCCACCAACAAGCACCTGCTGCAGCACCACCAGTTCGAGCTGCTCGTCAGGTACGCTGCTCGGCTACACGCACTACACATGCACACACACGCACACGCACGCGCACGCGACCTGGCCGCGCGCCTGCCCACCAACAAGCACCTGCTGCAGCACCACCAGTTCGAGCTGCTCGTCAGGTACGCTGCTCGGCTACACGCACTACACATGCACACACACGCACACGCACGCGCACGCGACCTGGCCGCGCGCCTGCCCACCAACAAGCACCTGCTGCAGCACCACCAGTTCGAGCTGCTCGTCAGGTACGCTGCTCGGCTACACGCACTACACATGCACACACACGCACACGCACGCGCACGCGACCTGGCCGC